GGAGAAGCGCTGCCCGCTGCAGAGGGACGGCGTGTACCGCTGGTTCTCGGAGCTGCCGTCGCCGCAGCGCGTAGAGTTCCTGTGCGGCCTGCTGGACCTGTGCATCCCGCTCGAGCTGCGCTTCCTGGGCTCGTGCCTCGAGGACCTGGCGCGCAAGGACTACCACTCGCTGCGCGACTCGGAGATCAAGGCCAACAACCCGGCCGACCTGGGCAGCCTCACCAACCTGACGGACGAGGTGGTGCGCAGCAAGCTGCTCGTGTCGCTGGCGCTGCTGGGCTCGGAGCAGCGCGAGGCGGCGGGCGTGCTGTATCGCACGCTCACGCACATCGACTCGGTCATCCACAACTACGGGCTGCAGCTCAACGAGGGCCGCACGGGCGATGAGTTCCTGCTGCTCTTCACCATGGCCTCCAACCACCCGGCCTTCAGCTTCCACCAGAAGCAGGTGCTGCGCCAGGAGCTCACGCAGATCCAGAGCAGCCTGAGCGGCGGCCACGGCGGGGGCAAGGGCGCGCCCGGGCCCACTTGTCCGGCCTGTCACAAGGTGCGTCCCGCGGGGAGATGGGACGCCCGCGGCGGGGACACGGGACCCCGGGGCCTCCGTGCGGGGAGAGGGGACTCCCGCGAGGGACAGAGGGCCTCTGGGCGGGGACACGGGACCCTCGGGGCGGGAGACGGGACCCCGGGGTGCCCAGAGCGGGGACTCTGAGACATGGGACCCCCGGGCGGGGAGACGGGCCCGGCCCGGGAGACAGGAGATCCCGGGGAGATGGACCCCGGGAGCCCATTGAGAGAGATTTTGGGACTCGGTCGCCGCCGAGCGGTCTGATCACTGGCCCTTTGGTGCGGCTCACCCCAGGCTTTGGCCTGGAGGAGTGATAAGGCCTTTGTCCCGGTGATCAGGCCCTTGGGTGGTAGGTAATCGCTACACCCCGGCCTCGCCGTGGGTTTCCCGATTCTGGCGGCGATTACCAGAAAAGGAAGCGCTGACCCCGGCGCCAGAGCCGCTGGTGAGGTTGAGCCTGGAGGGCGCTGGAGGCGCAGAGACCCGCTGCGGCCCGGCCGCGGCCTGCGGCCCTGTTTCCGGTCGTGGCAGGTCTGAGTGCCTTGCGCCGAGGTGGTGGGAGCTTGGGCCGGGGGCCTAGGGTGGGGTGTGTGCATGTGTTCACCTGTGTACCTCTGCACAAGCCGGGCGGGTGCTTGTTAGAAGGCTGGCCGCAGGCAGCAGACGGGGCTTCCGTTTGTTCCTGCCGGTGCCCCTGAAAGTTCACTGACCGCTGCGTAGGCCGCCTTTGAGCGGCAGCACCAGGATGCCTTCCTGTGTTGGTGTCTCCAGGTTAGGCAGGAAGGGCATCGTGGTCAGCCCCGGGGAAATGTGAACTTTTGTTCAAACGTTCAAGGTGATGGCATTGGCGAGTGTTTGGGGCTCAGATGTATTTGCAATAGCTCTCTGGAACCCAGTGCCAAAATTGGGGTCCAGCCCTGCAAATACAAGCTGGCTGTCGGACTGAGTGGTGGGTGCGGGTTTCACTGGCCCACTGCTTGTCTTTGGGAAGGGAGGTGGCACTCCGGAGCCCGTGGAGCCTGCTGTAGGGTCTTTGGCTTTTTGGTGTGTTCTTCAGGACCTTACTGGGATGGAGTGGCTGAGAAAACTCTCCGGGTTTCTGGTGCTTTCTTTTGTTTTGATCCGTCGACCCGAATCGTGGCTTGATTAAAACGTCTTCCGCTAAGAAGTGGTTGGGGGTTATATGTGAGTCGGTGTCACGTCTCTTCCTTTTGATGCAATTTCCCTGTGGTTTCTTTTGGGTGACGTTTTTGTTTACTCCCACCCCCCCTAAATTCCACGGGTGTGAAGGTAGGTCCTCTGTGAACGACCAGCAGGGTCTAGAAAGTGCAGTCAGTGAGCTGAGTAGGCTGCACCTCTTCATGCTGGTCTGGTCTTCTAGCGTCACTTCCAGGTGCTGTCAGTGTTACATTTAAATGCAGTTGCCACATGCTGGTCTTGGTCTTCTCTGTGGCTACAACTCTGGGTAGATCGGTGCTCGGAGCGGCTGCTTGTGTGGGTGCAGACACATCGCTTTGTAGAAGCAGAAGGGGCTTTGATTGTTTTGGTGAGGCAGCAAGCTCAATCTAGAGCAGAAGTGTCTTCATAGGAGACTTTCTGTCCAGCAGCATAGCCCTCCATGGAGGAATAGCCCACCTCCCTGGTCCCTGGGCTGCGTTTCCGGCTGTGTGGCCTTGGTCCTTCCCCAGCCTCGCAGTCTCCGTTTCCCTGTTGGCATAGAGGAAAGAAGAGTTCCTCCCTCACAGGCTTCTCGGAGGACTAAACGAGGCGAGGTGTGTGCGTCCATCAGATGTTGAGGAAGCACTTCTCTGCCCTCCACGTTCTCTCTTGCTTTTCTGTTTAGTTTTACACAGGGGCACTAACGTGAAGCTCCCCGCCCCGAAAAAAAGAAAAAAAACATACCCAAACTCCCTGCTGTGGAGTCAGAGCCAAGCGGACTCATAGCGACCCCCTCCTTGGGTTTCCGAGGCGATATCTCTATGGAAGTAGATTGTCCAGTCTTCCTTCTGAGGAGTGGCTAGTGGGTTTGAACCACCAGCCTTTTGGTTAGCAGTCAGATGTCTTAGGCACTATGCCACCAGAGCTCCCAGTGTGAAGCCAGGCACGTTTTTATGGAGTGAAAATACTTGGGTGTTGGCCAGAAAATGTTTATGTTTTCTAGACTGACTTTGTGACTTTTGAGTAGTGCTTGGATTTAACAGTTGTTTTGTCCATCCTTGGAAAATTGAGTTGTTTGGGATAACCCGTGATAACGAGGGTTACAATGAGTAACCTTGAGGCTGTAGCTTACATATTTCAAGACAACTGTGGTGGTGGTGTTTTCCCTCTGTCCCCATTAAGCGAACTCCTTTTACTTTCTGTTCCTTGTCTTAAAGCTAAGGCCTGACTTTGATAAACCGTTGGCTGGAATGGACAGCTGGGATGGGACCTGGCTCTGAGACACGTGGCTTTCTAGGTTCTGTCTGGGGGAAGAGAGGAAAAGGCACAGCTGCCCCTTGAAGCACTGCTTGCCTTTCCTGGGGAAACTCCTCCTATTTTGTTTTGAACTCCGGTTTGTCTTCTATAAATAAAGGCTTTGATTATTTACAGGTTTTTTTTTTTTTTTTTTGCTTTTGCTATTTTCTGAGATACTCGTTTTCTGCAGATGCTTCCTGAATGTTCATTGTATTTTTATTAAAATCTTATTGCTCTGAGGAGTTCTAGAAGAAATTTGGAAGTGTGGGGGAGTGTGAAGTAGACATTTTTGACTTTCAGAAAGGAGAATGTTTGTAGCAGGAGCGCTCGTGGTAGACTGAAGAATTTGTACTCTCTGTAGTAGCTGACGCTATAGTAGACGTGTTCCTTAGGATGTTCCAGGATGCTACTAGTTCTCACAGTTGGCTTTGGACTTATGACTTACTGCTGTTTTATCCATTTTATTTAAATGTGAAGCTATAATTTTGGAAATAAAAAGGCGAACTCACTGCTGTTGAGATGGATCTGACCCAGAGTGACCCGTCCTTTGGTTTCCGAGTCAGTATCGCTACGGAAGTAGATAGCCCAGTTTTCTTTCCAAAGAGTAGGTGGTGGGTTTGAACCACAGCCTTTTGGTTAGCAGTCAAATGCTTTTGTTCTGTGCAGTTTTGTCTTGTGTAAGTGATCATTTTTCTACAGTCTATGGTATTAAAAGGAGCTCTGGTGGCTCAGTGGGTAAGGCCTCTGGCTGCTAGGCCAGAAGGTTGGTGGTTCAAACCCACCAACTGGTCCATGGGAGGAAATCTACTTCTGTAAAAGTTTGTTGTTGTTGTTATGTGCCATGGAGTCGGCCCTGACTCATAGCGACCCCTCCTTGGGTTTCCGAGGCAGTATCACTACGGAAGTAGACTGCCCAACCTTTCTTCCGAGGAGTGGCTGGTCTGGAAACCCTGTGGGGGATGCTCTGAGTAGGAATCGACTCAATGGCAGTGGGTTTGGTCTTGGTTATGGTATGAAACACACACACACCCAAACCCATCGCTGTCTAGTTAATTCTGACGGCAAGAACTGCCCCGTGGTATTCCCAAGGCTACCATCTTTATGAAAGATCACTGCCACATCTTTCTCCCTTGGAGCAGAGAGTGTGTTTGAACCTCTCACTTTTCATTTAGCAGCCAAACACTTAACCACTCTGCCACCAGGGCTCCTGGTCTGTGATGTGTACTAAACTCACTGTCAAGTCGATGCCAACTCATGGTGACTCCTGTTGGGTTTCCAAGGTGGTCAGTCTTTACGGAAGTAGATTGCCCTGTCTTCCTTCTGAAGAGCAGCTCGTGGGCTTGAACCAACAACCTTCTGGCTAGCAGTGGAATGCCTTAGGCACTACGCCACCAGGGCTCTTACATAGCTCTGGCATATAGTTATGTAGAAATGGCAGGGTGGAGGTGTCTGACCACCCGTAACGTCATGAGGGGAAGTGAGAATCGGCATCATCCCAGAGCTGATTCCTATGAGGTGGGAATCAGACACACCTCTTCCCTCAACCTTTTTACCAATTCTGGCAGCAGCTGCTCCTCTCATGGCACTTTACTACTCTGCTGCGTTCAAAACTTCATTGCAGTGGCCACACTAAACCCAGACAATATTCAGGATGATAGGGTTTAAAAGGGAAGTGCCGGGTCAGGAACAGCTCTGGGTACAGTGCGTCCATCAGGATAGGCTCCCCTCAGCCGGGTCTGCCGGTAGCCTCCCCCTGTCCCTTGCCCCTCAGCCCTTTGGGGCCAGCATGGCCCCTGCCCGCTCCAGTGCGTGTCGCAGAGCTCTGCAGTTCTGCCGGAGAGTGCTGGGAGGCACGCCGCTGTCCAGCAAGCCCCTGCCCGCAGACGCAGCGCTCCTGCTCCGCGGGACTAATGAGGAACGCACTGTGCTGTGGCCACTCCTCTCCTGCCGCTGGCCACCTCTTCTCTCCACGTTACAGCTCTGTCTCTGCGTCTGGGGGATTCTTGGCGCAGGGAGCCCAGGTCCACAGGGGCACCCGCTCCCGTCTCTTGATGATGGGAGTGAGGTCCTTCCTCCCCACCTCTGAGGGCTCATTTTAAGCCTAGAGGGATGGCAGAACTGACCCATCCCCCTATTAGGGTTCCCTGCACCTTATTTACGTTGTTAGCCAGCCAGCCACTCCCCTTCGTGGGCCACAGCACCTCATTTGCATAGTCTCACCCAGTCATCTGGTGGGATTTATAAAGACTATGCCTGGAAGGAGGGGCTCTGGTAGCATAGCACCTAAGGCACTTGACTGCTAACCAGAAGGCTGGCGGTTCAAACCCACCAGCCACTCCTCAGAAGGAAGGTTGGGCAATCCTACTTCTGTAGTGATACTGCCTCGGAAACCCAAGGAGGGGTTGCTGTGAGTCAGGGCCGACTCGACGGCACATAACAACAACAACAACGTGCCTGGAAGGATCATAAGATACTCATTAGCCACTTTTTTCAGAAGGAGGTCACCACATCCTTCTTTCAAGTCT